GCAGCAGGGGTGGCACCAGGCTCTTCCCAGCGCTCGGTGGCAGTGCTGGGAGGGCAGGTTGAGCTCTGTGGGGCTGGCAGAGCCGCTTGAAGTGCAGCCCTGGCTCTCCCCGCCTCCTGCAGCTAGGCTGCACTCCGAGCTGCTGGGCTGCACTCCAAGCAGCTCCTCCAGCCTCATAGAGCGGAGCCTGGTGGTGGAAGGTCTGGGAGAGCCACTGGTTAGGGCTGTGTTCAGAGCCAGTGCTGCGCTCCAAGTGGCTTTGCCACTGGCTCTCCCCCGCCTCCTGCCACTGTGCTGCACTTTGAGCAGCTCCGCCAGCCACACGGAGCTGAGCCTGACAGCAGGAGGCTGGGGAGAGCCTCTAGCCAGGGCTGTTCTCAGAGCCAGGGCTGCACTCTGAGGAGCTCTACCACTGGCTTTCCCACTGCCAGGCTCAGCTCCATAGGGAAGATCCCAGCACAGCCCCACAGCCCTCCTGTTGCAGCTGGTGCTGGTGGTTCCCTGGGAAGAGCTGGGGGGAAGCGATCAGAGAGCTGGGAAATCAAACGTGGAGCTAGATGTCAGTATCAGAGAGCAGTCCTTTCCCCCCTCCCTCTCCTTAGTTTCTGTTTAGCTCTAGGCCCAGCTTTGAAACTCGAAATGTTTTGTTTTGAAGCTGTTTCGAAGTCTTTTGTTTCATTTCGATTTCACTGTTTTGAGCTTGAAATGCATCGAAACAGCTTCAAAACGAAACACCTGTCAAAATTTTGCATAGCCCTATCAGCTTCCTGCCTGGCTGCAGCAGTAGAGTCCAGTGAATAACACAAAGCACCCTGGGATACTGGAGGGCTGTACTGTGGCATTTCTCAGAACCTAACGTATACAGGCATTCACTGTCGCAGGAGAAACTCTACCTGTAGTGATTTAACCCTTGTTCCCAAGTTATTTTATTCTCGGAGTAGCCATTTTCACTCTGGGGAAAAACTCCTGAACAGCTGTTCACCTTTACCTGCTGCTACAGAAAAGCAGCCGTCTCTTAAAGCAGGATTTCCTCTGGAAATATTTTCCATGTCACATAATCAGATCACACTATTGATGACAGCAACAGCTTCTTCAGAGGAGCAAGATGGCACCAGGGCACAAGCATTTTGTTAATAGGCTGGAGGGAGGAAGGCTTTAAGAGGTGAAAAGTAATCAGTACGGCCTGTGTTTGAAGTTCAGATTTAAATATATAGCATCCTTGTGGAAGAGAAAAACAAAGGAAATGTTTGTTGTAACTGGTATATCTCAGAGATTAGTCACTGACCAAGCAGATCAGACTGGGAGCAAAGCATCCAAACTAATTATAGTTGTTGTTGCCCGACATTACTACAGTCTATCCTGGACTAATCCAAATTTCTCTAAGGCTCAAGGAGATTCAATCAGTGGTGGTCTGCCACTTTCTAATATTAGCTATGCACTAGATCAAAAAATGTTTGTGCTGAGGACAGGGGGATGACCTATGCACAATTAAAAGGCAGAGTCACATAAAACCAAGCTGAAGTTTGTTGTTAGAGCCAAAACACTGGGAGTTCTGAGCCACTGGGCAAAACATTCAGCTAATATGAACCTTTTCGGGTAACTGCAAATCCAGCAACTTTGTTTTATTCTTGAACGTAGCAGAGACACTTCCTCACCCTGACTGTTACTTCCACATCAGGAGGGCAATATAACCCATCTTTCTGGAATGCTTTAAGCACAAATACTGTTGGAATGATGAAAGGCAATTTCATTCTTTGGGTTTGGACACACTGGTTCTTTCCTTGTTTACATTTTCACTCCAAGATGACAAGTCCTAGTCTGTATATTTTTTGTGACTTTCAGTTTACATATTGGCTCCCCACACATTGTTGGTTCTGCCACAGAGTAACTTTGGCTTTAACGTAATAAGTTGCATACTTGGAAAAGACAAGGATTCCTTAGGGTGATATCTTTTATTGGACCAACTATTTAGTACTGTGTAGTAGTAGTCCATAAAAGGCATCACCCTGAGAAATTCTTGCTCCTCGGAGTTTCTGGACCATTATGGCTACAGCAGCACTCTTACACTACCATACTTGGGAAATGCACTGAACATTGCTATTGCCACAAGTTTACTAGTTAGACTAAGAATGTTGGAGGGTTTACAACCACCTCCTATATATGCACAGAGGTGCTACGCAAGTGTTTTTATTGTATTTCTCATATTCTCAGTGATAATTTTAAATGAAGACAAGTTGATAATAAGCTATTTAGAATGCTGTTGAGCAGTAAATGAGTTAGCTAAAACCTGGCTAAAATTGGACTTCCTTATTAACAGGTGAATAGAGGCTCTTTCACCAACTAGTAGCCTGGACATATTTACCTGTTCATACCATGTAAGGATTTTCTCTGCTGTGCTGCAGTTCCCCATCTCTATGGCTTAAAGATGCTATTTTCTGCTACCTCACAAGGTGGTAGCATAGATCAAATAAGCTAGCATTTGAACAGCGTTTTTGACTATGGTAATTGTTACATAAGCACTGGCTAGTATCTGTTATTGTGATTATTGCAAAAGAAGGTTCTCATTTGTCTTGGGCTGTACACCCAAAAGGAACGATAAACTGGTTCATGCTTTAAACGCTACTTTCTGCTTGGAGATCCAGAGTTTAATTTCTTGAAAATTAATGACATTTCTGGAATCCATTGATTTCATTCCAGTTCTGTTGGCTCTGCTGAGAAGTCTGCTCAGAGCTCCCAGAGGGAGAGGTGCTGTGCATCAACTTAATGTTGAACTCATAAACTTTAAGACTAACATTTTTTGTTATCTTATTGAATTGCAGGTGTCCCTGGCTCCATGCCCAATGCATCATGGGAAGGTGACCTGAGAGCTATAAAGTGGAAAGATATGGAAAAGAAACATGGAGGTTGTCATGGTAGTATACATATTTATACTTTTTTCCTGTGCTACCATTGAAAGCTATTTACAAATGGGTTGCAGGTCTCCTTAGGAACCTTCTAACCCCCAATTCCACCTGGGCTGTGGTCCATTTGTCTCCATTTTAAGAATCTCAAATTATGGCCAGTTGCTAGAGAGGGTTATAGCCCTGGAGCGCTAAACAATTCTCTTTACTAACAGTAGCCACCCCAGAACAGGTGGCTCCATCACAGACCTAAACATTGGGCAACTTGAGGCAACATGATTCTTAGAGCTCTGTACCCCCTCTAAAGTGTGAGTCCAGGTTACCACCCCACAGGCCAGAGCTAAAAAGGCAGTCAAGGGATAGTTAGTTAAGCTACATGATTGAGATTCAGGGTATCTAGGCTAAACACCTGATTATACTGCAGATTTCATGAGTGATTTGGGCAAGTCACTCTTCATGTGTTTGTTGCTGACCTGTAAAACAAGGATTATGCTTAATTCCTGAGGGGAGTGAGAAACTAAATTCAAACTGCTTTAAGCTGCATTGAGTTGTTCCACTCCACTGAGCTGTGGAGTTGCTACAGTAATTTAGCTTCACATCTCTTCTCCATAGAATGCCTATGTTCTGATGTTGCTATCATCATCTTCCTTTGCAGGCCGTTATGTCAGAGACATTTGTATATACGGAACAGGTGACCTCAAGTGGCTATATAACTCGACATGTTTGTTTGCCAATAAGTTTGAGCTCAAAACCTATCCACTCACTGTTGAATGCCTGGAATTGAGACTGCGAGAGAGAGCCCTCTCACAGAGTGAAATTCAGGTGGACCCAAACTGGTACTTTTAGATTAAAGCCCAGAAATGGAAATAAGTTCAGTTGCTGAAGTTGTGGAAGAAGAACCTCCCTCAAAAGACATCTGATGTTCATCACTGGCAGTTCAAAGAGAAGACTGGACTCCATATCTCACAACTCATCATCACAGGGCCAGAGACCAAAGGAGAAAGATTTGAAGTGAAGGCTGGGGTAAAGAGAGTCTTGGGCCTGCTGTATTTGCACTTTTGCCACTTTTGTGGCTAGCTTGTTTCACGGTGCTGACTTTTGCTTTACTGTGTTACTGTCTTGTTCTATACCCACATAGAATCATGCGTCTCTAGAGTTTTATAGACCTAAACAATATCCAGAACATGCTGCTTAATTCTTACCCTTCTTTGTAAGGTAGAAACAATCAACAAGATCTTAAAAATAATCCAGATACAGAAAGTAAAATATTTGGCCAAATCTCCCACAAACAAATGGTTGACATGGTGGATAGATGGCACAGTATTGAAAGTTGGAAATTAGAGGACCACTTCCAGATTTCCTCAAACATTTCTAAAATATTCTTGAGAGTCTGGGGAGGAGGAGATGTTTTCTACTGGATGGGTGGTAGCTGAACTTAGGAGATACATCCACAACTACATCCTTTTTGAGATAATGCTAGTAGTCTCCCCAAGTTTTATTACTCTGGACTAATGTACTGCACAGAAAATCCTCTTTAGCTGTTGCTCACACTATCTTGCAGAAATGAGCCACTACAGCATAACACATTTTAGCTGGTCTAATATTCCAGTTATGTAATAAAAATCTTGTTCCAAAGCCCACTGAAGATAAGTCACAATTGATTAGGTCAGGGCATTACCGGGTATGTGACAGAAAAATGTATTTCTGAAAGTTCTGGGCATTAAAGTCTGTCACACATACAGTACATTGGACACATAGTGTTTACCTTAGAATTCTTCCAAATGGGAATAGGATACTTTTCTTTCTGAAAAAAGAAAAGTGGAGTAAGAGAAGAACAGGTATATGCCATTTCCTTTAGTTCTCCCAGGTGGGATATGGCACAGGATTAGAAAAATTTCATCTGCCAAAGGAAGTCAGGGCAGACACTTGGATAAATTCTTGTTCAAGTTCTCCAGGGGAACATCTCAAGTTCTCTCTGGGCACCAGAGGTACTGCAGCTAGCAAGGTAAGGAGGCCACTAAAGAGAAAGGTATCAAAGGTGACAATTCAGAAAATCACTGGTGATTTCAGAGTCTATTTTATGGAGTATTTTTGAGATAACATGCTAAGGAGTATAATAGTCAAAAGACGGATGCTTGGCTTTTTCTGAAAAAGAGGCCTCAACATGTCAAGCGAGCATCCAGAAAAGTGAACATGAAGTGAAACGAAGTCTAGACTAAGGCTGCCTAACTAGCAGTGCATGGGCTGCATGTAGTCCCCAAGGGTTCTGTGGTCCCCAGATTCCAGTCTGGGTACCACCCCCTCCCATTACTCTCCTGCTGCTGCTGCCCCTGGCTTTCAGGTTCCCCCTCCCTTCTTCAGCTTCCACTTGATTCTGCACCTGGGAGTCGGGATGGCAGGGCCTACAAGGCTGAGAGAACCTGTGCCCAGGAGGCTCAGGGGACTTGGAGACTGGTGTAGCACAGCAGTGGTTGTCCAAAGTACTGCAGGGGGGGCACACAGCATAGTGTGCATCCCATACAACAAGCAGCCCAGGGAGTTTGTGGCACACAAGGCATGTGGCTGGGGAGTCTGTAGCCCCTGACCATTCAGAAGTTTGACAGCCCTGGTCTAGACCAAGAAATAAAGGGAAAGGAAGGCAGTCCCAGCAATGACCTCAATAGGGAGAACAAAGTGAAGAGACTAACTTTCAACTGTTCCAGGCTCTGAAAGCCAGAAGATACATTAGGGCAGAGGCAACAAGTGAGTTATTTAAACAAAAGGATTATTTTGCACTGAAGCTCCCTTCAAGGAACTAGAACAAGTGGAGAACTCTCAGGATTGGATCATGTTTACCCATTTCAGTTAGTCAATACACTGCATAATCTTGAAAAACCTAAAGAAAGAGAGTGTTTTACTTATAAATACCACAATCCAAAAAGCTGGCATAGTCCAAACCACTGGGGTTTTTTTGTTTTTGTTTTACTTTGTTATTCAATAAATTGTCATGGAAATAAATTGTTACATGACTACAGATTTCTTTATTGCAACCAGGAGACAGTCATGTTATTCTTTTAAAGAGAAGGTTATTACAGTAAGCATCACTGCTAAATGGCACAGACAAGGGTGGAAATTAAAGAAGAAATAACATTGGCTTCTAAATGCAAGATTTAGATCAGTAGTTCTCAACTGTTTTGGTTTGAGGCACCCCTTGTTAGGCTTGAGGTATCCCTCGAAAAATGCTAGGTCCTAAGTTTTCAGTTTGTGACTGGAAAAATAATAGAGCGGCTTTTCTGTTACAGAGGACTCGGAAAGACAACAGGTCAGCATCCATTTAATACTATGGATTCCTATTTGAAGTCTCTGGATTTATCATGTGAATCATTGTTTGCACGCCTAAGTGTGCTAACATTGCTCGAGTCCCGTGGCACTCTTGAAAGGATCTAAAGGCATCCCAGGGTGCTGTGACACATTTGTTGAGAACCACCGATTTAGATTATCAACCCCTCTGGAATTTTGTCACCCTATTTAGTCTTGATTTGTGTTTCAATATCACTAGTAATATTAGGTCCCTTGCATTGCATCACCTTGCATATCCTGTATTTGCCTGCCAGAGAGCTTGTGGACTCTCCATCCTTGGAGGTTGTTAAGAGCTAGCTAGACAGAGCCTTGGTTGGAATGATTTAGCTGGGAATGGTCCTGCTTTGAGCAGGGGATTGGACTAGATGTGACTTCCTGAGGTCTCTTTCAACCCTAATATTCTATGATTCTATGAGCAGAGACAGCAATAGCACCTGCCACTCCCAGCCTCCTCCCTTTCTCCCCACCGGGATCAGCAGGGAGAAGCAGCAAGGGACTAAGTTCTAAAAAAGGTAAGCAATCATGTCCCTTCTCCCTTCCCCTCTGTGCTCAGAAGTATGCCCTCTCCTCTCCCCTGGCAGCTGCTGCCAGGATCCCTGCTGTCTGTACTGTTCTGAGGGCAAGGGGAGCTCCTGTCTTGCTTCAGCCTGTTTTTGTTGCAGCTGGGCTCAACCCAGGTCGTCGGGAGGTGGGTGGGTTCCTGTGCCTGCTCCTGGGCTTATAGGGAGCCACCCAAGGGGAGCAGGCAGAGAAAGGGAACCTATCTGCCTGATCTTGCCAGTGTCCTGGGCCGAGCCCAGCCCTTGAGAAAGTGAGGACACTGGCAGTGGCAGGCAAAGGAGGTAAGAATGGGAGAGGAAGGAATGTGCCTCTAAGTATGGAGGGAAAGGGAAGGGGGATTCTTACATTTTCAGGGACTTAAAGTCCACAACTGCTGCTTCTGCTACGTGGTCAAAGGGGTGTGTCATATTGCAGCCACACCACTGGATCCATCCCTGGACATATAGTGTTTTCTAAGCTAGGGAATTTTCCCCTCTCCTTCTCCTGCTACAATCCCAGTGCTGTTTATGATCGACTTTCCTGGGTGTCATCTCTGGGCACAATTTTCAGAAGTACTTGGGTCATTTAGACTCTTGAGTTTCTCTGTCAGAAACACTTTTGTCTACATGTCAATTGTACAAGTTTGCACTTCTGCCAAGAGATATTGAGGTGCTAACAATGTGGTTAGGACTCAAATGCCACTGGAGACCTAGACAGTTGTTTAGGCACCTAAATACCTGGGTTAATCTGGCCACAGGAGTATAAGTCCCATTAAAATTCTAGGAGACTTGGTATGTCAAGACTGCAATCCTGATCAGCCATGGCAACATATGAACAGGGCTAAACTAGCTTTAAACTAGACAGATCGTGTAACAAAGCATTCAGTCGCTGGCAGCAAGGGATTGCATGCAGGATGCAAAATACACTTGGCTCCTTGGATTACAGGTCCACAAACAGGTTGAGCTTCAGGCTACTGCACCTTATCCATTACCAGCACATGAACTACCTCAAGAATGTCTATGCAAGCTATGATCTCATAGTGAGACACACTCACAGGCTTCTAAGTCATACGAGTGCTGAAAGTTATCTACTTCCAAGAATAGCAAGGTGTTATGTACTGTGGGCAACATGCATTCAATTATATGATCTTGGAAAATTGTGCTAGTTTGGATTGGTAAATATCCTCACTGCTTATCTCAGGAATTAAAATATAAAGCAAAATGGTATAATTCTACTCTCCGTAGCTTTTTCTATTCTCCCGTGTTCTAATGGTAGAGATGCAGACAGGTAGCAGTTGTACAGAGATACAAATAAGTCACTGAGGAAAGAGAGAAAGCTTTACATTTTACTATTTGAGGATCATGAGCAACAGTAACCCACTGCTGTTGCTAGATCAGCGGTGTACATTTCTGCATTTTCACCCAGAGCAGAGAAACTTCTTTTTAGAGCTAGGGAATTCCTGGATCTACTGTAATTGCCTGCAGCTAACAGGAAAGTTTTGCCACTCCCCATCTGACTATGAAAGCAGAAAAATGCTTGGGATAGTTCAGAATAAGCATAGTGAGAGTTACCTAGACGAACACTACCTCTGAGAATTGCACTGTTAAAATGGCTTCTTATAGGTGGCCGTTCTCTTACCCTCCTTATCTTGAACTCGCCTTGCTGTAGCCATAGTGTTGGCTGCACAGGTGACTTGACAAAAGCCCAGTGAGGATGACAGGAACTTTTCCATTGTTTTTAGCTTTTGGGTAACGAACCTGGAGAGCATTAACCTGTCAGATGCTTAGAAAATGTACCTTAAAAAGGCTTACATCAGCTGTGTATGGCATATAGTTGAAGCATTTGAGTTGACAATAAAGAAATTATATGGAAGAGTTCCTAACTATGACTTGAACAGGCACTTGAAGCAAATCCCTGGGTGAAATGCCTGCTCCATTTTGAATACTCTTATTTTTAGCAAGAGTCAGAGCTACAAAATTAGGGGGTTACACTGTAAACATATATACCAGCTTATAACACTGAATGGCAGAGTACTGTACTGCTTGTATACTTACCTAGTCAGGGGAGAGGCATAGTAATAAAATCACAAGAACAAAATGACCCCCTTCCATATATATGAAGTCTCCCAGTGAATGCGGAATTGTCCTGGTGGCGAAGTGAGGGCAAAGCCGAGGCTGATGTCATCTTCCTGGACTTTAGGACTTCGATACAGTTTCGCACCCTACCCTCACTGGGAAACTAGCAGACTGTGGAGTGGACGCCTACACGGTCAGGTGGGTGGCCAACTGGCTTAGGGACCACACCCAGAGAGCGGTGGTGGATGGTTCCTTCTCGGCCTGGAGGGAGGTGGGCAGTGGGGTCCCGCAGGGTTCGGTCCTCGGACCAATATTATTCAATATCTTCATCAGCAATTTGGACGAGGGCGTGGAGAGCACCCTCTCCAAGCTCACTGATGATACCAAGTTATGGGGCAAAGTTAGTAAACCAGAGGGCAAGGAGCAGATTCAGGCTGACCTGGACAGGTTGGATCAATGGGCAGAGAGAAATAGGATGCAATTTAATAAAGAAAAATGTAAGGTACTCCACCTGGGAAGGAGGAACCCCCAGCACACCTATAGGTTGGGGAGTGTCCTTCTCAGCAGCTCGGAGGCAGAGAGGGATTTTGGAGTCATAACTGACTCCAAGATGAAAATGAGCTGGCAATGTAACAAAGCCATCAACAAGGCCAATCACACCTTGTTGTGCATTAGCAAGTGCATGACTAATAGATCAAAGGAGGTGATGCTCCCCCTCTATGCAGCACTGGTCAGGCCGCAGTTAGAGTACAGTGTCCAGTTTTGGGCGCCGCACTTCAAGAAGGACACGGAGAATCTGGAGAGGGTCCAGAGGAGGGCCACTCGCATGATTAGTGGCCTTCGTGATAGACCCTACAGGGGGAGGTTGAGAGAGCTGAATCTCTTCAGCCTTCACAAGAGACGGCTGAGAGATCTTGTGGCCGCCTATAAATTTGTTAAGGGAGGTCAATGGGGAAGCGCTGTTTACTAAGGCGCCCCAGGGAGTGACTAGGAATAACGGGTGTAAACTAGTTAAGAGTGGATTTAGGTTAGATATTAGGAAGAAATTTTTCACAGTAAGGGTGGCCAGGATCTGGAATGGGCTTCCAAGAGAGGTGGTGCTATCACCTAGCTTGGAGGTCTTCAAGAGGAGGCTAGATAGTCACCTGGCTGGGGTCATCTGACTTTGGTCCTCTTTCCCACCAGGGGCAGGGGGTCAGACATGATGATCCATTGTGGTCCCTTCCGACTCTACAATCTATGAATCTATGAACCCTAGGATTCAAGGGAGAAGCCCTGCACGGTATGGTGAAGAACTAGTCAAATATTTCAAAGTAGGCTTTGCTACATTTCAACTGGCTCCCACCTGGCCTTGCTAAGCATTATAGTTAAAAAGCAGGCACAATTCTCACTGGGTGTAAGCAGTCAAAGTTTGGGTTCCACAAATCACCCCAGAATTAAATGAGTACAAGAGAAGTCAAGCTTGTACAATCAAGGCTTTCCCAATGGGGCCTTTAGCAGAAGCACCCAGTGCTCTTCACATCTTTGAGTATGGTTCCCAGTTGTGATATCGATTTAGTACAAGGCACGTTATTCCTGGCATTACATGATGGTTTGTGAAGTTAGAACAAGGCCAGACTTTTTCACTAGCAAATCACCTGCAAAGCATGCAACACACTTAGCTTGGAAACATCTTTGTCAAGAAGTTGAAGCCGGAAAAATGTGTTTTACTTGCATTTGTCCCCTCAATGGAGTTATTTTTGCTGTGAAGATATCTCCCAGGAGCACATTTACATTTTTGTCCAACACTCCAAAAGGTGAATCGTTTATTGTCTAGCTCTCTACCAAAATATCCATGATAAAAGCTCTCTCCTCATATAATCAAGCCATGTTCACTAGTGAAGTACTAATTGTGCCATCATTTCTATATATAGTAGACTAGTAATTCTCAGCCTTTTTAGACTCAAGGCACCCCTCCATAGCTTTACCAAATTTAGCAGCACTGCATTTCAAACACTAATTTCAATCATTTTGACTGTGGAAAAAATAATAGAAAAATTCTTCTGTTGCAAAGAACTCAGAAACACCACAGCAGGTCAGCATATTTTTGACATTAAGGATGCTGATTTGCAATCTCTGTGTTTATCTCGTAAATCATGCATAGTTATTTGCATACCTAAGGGTGCCATACAATATTAGCACTGTTTAAAGGATCTTGTTGTACCCTGGTTGAAAAACAGGATGATAGGAAAGATGGGGCTGGAAAGGAACTTACAGCCATCTAATGTCCAGCCCCTTGCTCAAGGAAGGATCATTCCCACCTAAACCTTCCCAGCCAAGTCTAACCTGCTTTTGAAAATTTCTTGAAAAATTCCACAATTTTTCTAAGACTGTTCCAATGTTTAATCACCATCATAGTCAGAAAGTTGTTCTAACTCTCCAACCTAAATTTCTTCTGCAATAGACTATGGTCTATGACCAACAGAGAGAGTCAAAGACTCCCTCAAGCCCAAGTCTGCTCATTATCTACACAATAAACCCCAAAGTCAACCCCCTTATCAGCAGTCCAGCCTAATCCTGGAAGCTCAGCTTTATGGTTTCCCCTGCCACAGATTTGGAGCTCACCTAGATTTATAGGTCAAACACAGGAAGTTGCCATCAGCAATGCCCTATTTCTGACTTCTATATCCAACTTCTAGTCACTAATTTCCCTTAATTGACTGCCAGGCACTCCACAAACCAGCTCCTAGAAAGCCTCTGCTCTATTTCTGAGGCAATATAGGCCAGTTTACTAATACCATTTCCAAGAGCAAAACTTAACACTTAAAGATAATTGGCTGGCATTAGGCTATTTTTTAAAGTACCACCCTCCAAAAGGCTTTATTTCTGAAAAGGATGTTGGATCGCTGTCATGTATGGGAGCCAACAAGTGATAACTGAATTGCTTTATCAAATATAGGCTAAAATTCTAGCAGGGCAACAAGTGAATCCCCATTTTTAAAGAAGGGTTTTATGTGAAATGAAGAGCTGATAAATATAGGCACTAACATGGTTAAATACTCTCTGTGCCTTTGCAGGTAGTATTACATGGCTAAGGGTCACAATTGCAGCTGCACTTCAGATGTGATGCAAGAATGTAGGTCAGTTGTTTCTGCAAGTTGTCAGATTCTTGAAAATGTAGTTTATGTTCTCAAAAGCTCAAAGCCACTAGCCACTAAGTGGACTGAAAAGTGATTGGGAAGGAGCCAGGAGGGGTGAATGTTGGAGAAATATGGGGACTGAAAAAGAGTGGTGTAAACAGAAACCGAGAAAACAATGTGGGAAGGAGGGAAAAAATAAGAGAATATTAAGGGAAGCACCAAGAGAAGCATGAGGATAAGGGGCCTGTTCAGGACTGGTCCAACCATTAGGCAAACTAGGCAGTCACCCAGGATGCCAAAATTTGGGGGAAGCCAAAATTATATGCAGAACAAAGTAACAGGAACATCATTCTAAATAACAGCCTTGGCCAGCTACGGCTCCACCTTGGTCTAAGATTTTTGGTTCGGTAAGGGGAGAAAGACGTCTGAAAAGATCTGAGGAAAGATCACTAGAATCGTGACTCCTACCTTTTCAACTCTCAAGCGGACTTATGACAAGAGCATACCGCTGGCAACGTCATCCTAAAAGATGAACCTCTAAGTCCTATATCATCTTACAGTTTATGACACTGATTTCTCACATCTTCCTTCTCCCTTCCAACCACACTTTTTTAAATCTAAAGCACCCTAGATTTCATCAGTTGCGTTTAAGATTTCATCAAGAGTAAGACGACCAAAATACGCCGACTCCAGGTACAGATATTTATTGTGCCCATAATTCAGGAAACAGGCTTCAAGGTAGGAATTTCTTGGTTCGATTTTGTAGATCACATTTAACTTAAATGATGTAGAACTGATGTACAAATGTACTTATTACTGTAGGTACACCTGAGTGGTCATGTTTAATATTCTCAATTTTATAATGTCTAGAAATGGTCGGAGTAGGATTGCTGAATCATTACATTTAATTCTTGTAAGAACAAATTAGATTTTTTAAAGTTATTTGAATTAGGGGTAAGCTTGTGTGTACATATTATGGTTGGATACTCATGTGAGAGATACGTAGGCATTTAGAATGCGTGTGTTAATGTGGAATGAGTACTAATTAATTGCTAGCAAGCTCAAGAGATATTTTTTAATTAGTTCGTTATATAACGCCTGTATCATTGTTGTGTAAGGAAACAGTTGTATGACTGTGTGTACAAACCATGTTTACGCCCTTAGTCATACATCCTAACTAATACCTTCCTGATTGCAGGGGCAGTTTGCCCATTAAGGCACTTTAGGCAGTGCCTAGCCATATTTCTTCCATGATAATTTAATCAATTGTCCACATTAATAATGTTACCACAGTCAGAATTTTCTTTGAAATTGTACTTAGATTGATTGTTCTCTATATTGATAATTCATTTCAAAACAGTTTAAAGCTGTTTCAGGGGAATGGTACCATGGCAGACAGAAAAAAACTGTCTGGAGCTCAGTATCGTAAATGAAAAGCTGAACAGGCAAAAGAACAAGCAAAGCAAGAGGTTCCTTCCTGAAATACCTTCAATTTCACCCACATCAGGATGGAAGCAGTTCACGACAACATCAAGATGAAGGCAGCTCATGGGAGAGTCAAATTGATGCCTTGAAGCCACTCTGCTATGAGCTTGGCTATATCTATGATGCATCAATCGAAATTTCTGATGAGGACCACCTGGCAATATGACACGTGCTGATGCAGAAGCTCTTGCAAATGGCCTTTCCAAGTTTAAATCTGTGGTTTCATTCATTTTGTGATATAACATCCTTTTTGCGATCAACCTTACTAGTAAGCAACTTCAGGCAAAGGACTTTGACATACATTCTGCTATCCAACAACTGAAACAAACCGAAAAGTTTCTGGAGGAATGCAGGAATGATAAAGGGTTTGAAAAGACACTGGTAGATGCTTGTGAGCTTGCTGAAGAGTTAGAGCTACCAACAAACTTTGAAGCAGAACCAGTATGCATTCGGAGAAAGAAGAGGCAGTTCGCACATGAAGCAAAAGATGAGTCAGAATAGTGGCAGGCGGCTTAAGCCTCTGGTGATACGGACTGGTATGTGGGTAGGTCACTGCGTTAAGATGAAGCTGCCTCTGCCAAATGCAACCTTATAAAACGGTGAGTTGCTTGGCCAGGGACAGGTTAACCTGGCTTCATGTTGACACCTGATGCCTCTTGCCGCAGCCTCTGTGCTGCCCCACCTCCCCTAAGCTCCATACTACCATCGGCTTCAGCCCCTCTACCTCCATTCCAGCAATGTGTGGGCACCAAACACACAAGAGCTGCATATGCCACAGGTTAGCCACCCCTGATCTATGCCCTGAGCAAGTGTCCGCCCAGTAAAGCCTTTTGTATGTTGTGTGTGTACAGTAAGAGGTATGACAACACACACATGCATGTTTCATGGTTCTTTGTGTGGAGCTCTTACTGGTAACTGATGGAAGCAATGTTCTGTTCTTTAGGGAAAATGCGGACAGAACATGAGAGGGCTATCAGCACCAGTGACTTTCCTCATAGCTTCACTGAAGAAGTACTGGGTTCCAGCCCAAACTCAAACCAAGGCAGCTACTTCCAGATCAGAACACCTTCAAACAGGGTTTGCTAAATAATGGGATTCAAGATAAAACGAATGCAAGACCCAGCATTAACCATAAAGTGAAGACATCTCATAGATTTCATGGATTTTTAGGGTCGGAAGGGACCTCAGTAGATCTACCCTGGGCCTTTGAGCTCTGCACCTTACTGCCACTTATTTTGAGAAATGGGTTTTTTTTCCCTCAATAGGAAGGCAGCCTGAGCACCTGTTCAGACAAGCATTTGCTTACTGCATGCTAATATAAACCATTAATTTACACTATATATAGGTGAAGGATATATTGGTTATGGTTAAGGATAACTACATTTTAAACTATACCCACCATCAGGCTCTGTTTACCTAACAACTTGTGCGAGACTGCCAGGAAATATGGTGGAAAGACCCTTCATGCTTTCCTTCTGCTAATTTGGTAGGTAGGTACTATAATGGGAAAGGGCTCTTCGTCTCCTCACGGTCGTGTCCCAGCCCCCTCGCCGTTTTTGTTGCCCTCTGCTGGACTCTCTCCAACTCGTCCACATCCTTTCAGCAGTGCGGGGCCCAAAGCTGGACACAGGACTCCGGATGTGGCCCACCCTGTTCCTGTCACATCACACTAGGAACTGCGTGACCCCTGGCACTAGGCAGGGCCCTCCCTCCGGGGAGATCAGGGGATGCAGGCACAAGCTCCCTGCTCTCTGCCCGCCGCACGCCCAGCGTGCCCCTGCCTGCTTCCGAGCGGGCAGCAAGGAGGGGGCGGGGAAGCACGCTGCAGCGAACCCCGCCCCGGGGGCAGGGGAATGCTGGGAAACGCGCTGCTCTGCCTGCCTCTGGCTTGGGGCCACTCCGCGCGGAGCCCTGATTGGCCACTTTCCCGGAGCGTTCGATTTCGGAACCCCGGTGGTCGCCACGTTCGGACCGAGCAAGGTCAGTGCGGGCGCGGCGATCGGGCCTGGGCCGGGCGGGGCAGTGTGGGGGCTCGGCCTCGCTCGGTGCCTCCGCTTCGGCGGGTCGCTGCTGGCTCCCCCCC